CACAAGGGTAGCAGTCTTGAAACCCTGTTTGGCTGAAATGATTATGAGTAATGTTTCACTCTAAGGCGTGTCCATACTCATAACCATTCGGATGGGAACATATTGATGGTAACTACTGTGCCTCATTTGCATCTCCCTCTTCATTTACAGCTATCATGTCTGACAAACCCAATATGAGAGAAATCTCCAGCTTTGACAAGACTAAGCTGAAGAAGACAGAGACCAGAGTGAAGAACCCATTGCCAACCAAAGAAAGTGAGTGAATCTTGTCCATCTAGCTCTGTGATGAATCTGCACGAGCCAGGGCTCAGCCCTGTAAGGCGTGCCATGGGCTGTCAGATCCATCTTATTACTGGCATCTCTCCCTAACAACAGATGACCAGGCAAGAAGATGGGCCAATTACCACCCATCCATGCAAGGGTACCTGTGTGTCCAGGGGAGGGTATTCTTTATACGTTGATTAACAAAGGAAATGCAAATATGTGACAGATTAACCGTAGTATTAACCACAGATTCTGTATAAAATACACCTTGTACTGTACCCTGCCCCAAAGGGGGGAGCGGTGTTCTCTCAATTTACATACATTTTACATGGTGACAGCATGAGTCAACATCTGTGCTTCACTCAAGAATTGCAATCTATAGAGGTGGTTTTATTAGACAGGGTCTTTCGGCCATCACACTCAACCACAGGAGTTTGGTGGCACCTTAATTGGGGAGGATGGGCTCGTGGTAATTGCTTGAGCGGAATGGTACCAAATAGCCCTGTAAGGGCTACTCCTGAGTGGCGCAGTGGTCTAAGGCACTGCATCGCAGTGCTAACTGTGCCACTAGAGATCCTGGTTCGAATCCAGGCTCTGTCGCAGCCGGCCGCGACCGGGAGACTCATGGGCGGCGCACAATTGGTCCAGGGTAGGGGAGGGAATGGCCGGCAGGGATGTAGCTCAGTTGATAGAGCATGGCGTTTGCAACGCCAGGGTTGTGGGTTTGATTCCCACGGGGGGCCAGTATAAAAAAATAAATAATATGTATTCACTAACTGTAAGTCGCTCTGGATAAGAGCGTCTGCTAAATGACTAAAATGTAAATGTAAATACATCAAACACATGGTTTCCAGGTGTTTGATGCTATTCCATTTGCTCCATTCCAGACATTATTATGAGCGGTCCTCCCCTCAGCAGCCTCCACCGCCCTCAACATTTTATATTTTAGTCATTTAGCAGACGCTCTTATCCAGAGCGACCTACAGTTAGTGAGTGCATTCCATTTTTTATTTTTACCATTTTGCTTTGATCATTGTATCATCCGAATCATTCAATAATGGAAATATGTATATAAATGAATATCAGAGATAGCGGTTTTCTTCAAAAAGGGTTTAACATTTGTTTCCATGTTGTAGCAATCGACCAAGAGAGAAAACGAGAGCCATCGCCTTGACCAGAGGAAGAGAAGTTTCCGACAAGCTACTTTGATTTGATTCTCTGACCTCCATCTGCCAAGAACCATAACTATGACGGGAGAACAGGACCTTGACTTTTATCACACTGGTGCTCAACAAATTTAGAAAATAAAGGGTATTAGGATTGGTTGTTACAGTCAGAGGATGAGTTTTTGAAACACTTGTGGCTCAATTTATTTTGTATGTCTCCAAGTCAGAATAATAAAGATGGTGTAAAAAACAAAGAAGATTTTTCTATCATTATGTGAACAGGTTGTGTATTTTCAAGTAGATTACAGGCCTAAAGAAAACAGTTGCCAAGTCTGCAAAAAGGTCCCATAGCCACACTCGCAGCTATTGAACAGTATATTGCAGTATTCTATCCTCTTCAAATCTAGTCATCACATTTCCCAAAACCTCACGAGATCCTTATGGAATTGTTTGGGTTGACAATGTAGGCTAAGAAGTAAACCGATCTGGGACCAGGCAAATTAGTTGTAGCCTACCTCGATTGTTATTTATGTTTAATTACATGTAATCTTGCTGATTTACAGTATGACATTATAAAAACAAAGTTTCCGCCCAGTTTTGAACCAGTGTGATGACTGATGGTTTCTCGGAACCGATAGCTTCTACTGTTATGGCTAGATGGAGTACAGCTACGGACCAAAGGTTGCATGTTTGAGTTGTGTCCGGGCCAACTGTAGCATTTTAGCTAAATAGTAACCTAATTCTCCTTACATGCCATGTTAAGTATCCTAACCTGCTACATAAAGTCAAGCCATCAGTTCCGAGAAACCATCAGTCATCACCGCCAGGGACCTGCAAAACTGCTGAAGACCAAGTGGGCCTGTACGGAATTAACTCAGATTGGCTCCGGTGAAATTACGTAAGAAATATTTTAAATTCAATCAAATTCCTAGCCTGAGTGCCAGTCTGTGCCATCATGCCAAACAAAAATTGTTTGGACTGACAATGAGCAACAGAGTTAGCAAGAGCACAAACAGATCTGGGACCAGGCTGAGGCTATCAAAATCCCACATCAGAAGAAAATAAACATTTACTATGTCATGAACGAACATTTTCAGTGGAATTAAACTACTGTATCGAAATGCTTTACAGCCCATACATGTCGCATGCTACTGTAGAAAATACTTTCTGTAGATCTGACACATGCACAGCTCTATCAACATTATACAATTGTCTGCCATTGCAAACCACTGTCCAATTTGGATGTTGCCCCTCAAACATGTTAGTGAGAATGTAGTGTTATTTTGCCATGTATAACACTCTGCATAGGCTGCTTTTACACAGGCAGCCCAATTGTAATATTTTGCCACCAATTGGTATTTTGACAATAATTGGCAAAATATTAGAATTGGGCTTCCTATGTAAGTAAACGCAGCCATTAACAATCTCATGAAACCAAAATGTTCAATCAATGAGCAAACATTCAAAACCTAGTAAATAGACAACTTCAATATGCCACAGCAGGAGTGTCTTCCAGCAACAGTATGAAAAAGGGCAAATTGTCTACAAATTATATAAACTCAGCAAAAAAAGAAACGTCCCTTTTTCAGGACCCTGTCTTTTAAAGATAATTTGTAAAAATCAAAATAACTTCATAGATCTTAATTGTAAAAGGTTTAAACAGTTTCCCATGCTTGTTCAATGAACCATAAACAATTATTGAACATGCACCTGTGGAACGGTCATTAAGACACTAACAGCTTACAGACGGTAGGCAATTAAGGTCACAGTTATGAAAACCTAAAGAGGCCGTTCTACTGACTCTGTAAAACACCAAAAGAAAGATGCCCAGGGTCCCTGCTCATCTGCGTGCTGCAAGGAGGCAGGAGGACTGCAGATGTGGCCAGGGCAATAAATTGCAATGTCCGTACTGTGAGACGCCTAAGACAGCGCTACAGGGAGACAGGACGGACAGCTGATCGTCCTCGCAGTGGCATACCATGTGTAACAGCACCTGCACAGGATCGGTACATCCGAACATCACACCTGCGGGACAGGTACAGGATGGCAACAACAACTGCCCGAGTTACACCAGGAACATACAATCCCTCCATTAGTGCACAGACTGTCCGCAATAGGCTGAGAGAGGCTGGACTGAGGGCTTGTAGGCCTGTTGTAAGGCAGGTCCTCACCAGACAGACATTACCGGCAACAATGTCGCCTATGGGCACAAACCCATCGTCGCTGGACTAGACAGGACTGGCAAAAAGTGCTCTTCACTGACGAGTCGCGGTTTTGTCTCACCTGGGGTGATGGTCGGATTCGCGTTTATAGTCAAAGGAATGAGGTTTCCACCGAGGCCTGTACTCTGGAGCGGAATCGATTTGGAGGAGAAGGGTCCGTCTTGGTCTGGGCCGGTGTGTCACAGCATCATCGGACTGAGCTTGTTGTCATTGCAGGTAATCTCAATGCTGTGCGTTACAGGGAAGACATCCTCCTCCCTGATGTGGTACCCTTCCTGCAGGCTCATCCTGACATGACCCTCCAGCATGACAATGCCCCCAGCCATACTGCTTGTTCTGTGCGTGATTTCCTGCAAGACAGGAATGTCAGTGCTCTGCCATGGCCAGCGAAGAGCCCGGATCTCAATCCCATTGAGCACATCTGGGACCTGTTGGAACAGAGGGTGAGGGCTAGGGCTATTCCCCCCAGAAATGTCCAGGAACTTGCAGGTGCCTTGGTGGAAGAGTAGGGTAACATCTCACAGCAAGAACTGGCAAATATGGTGCAGTCCATGAGGAGATGCACTGCAGTACTTAATGCAGCTGGTGGCCACACCAGATACTGACTGCTACTTTTGACCCCCCCCCCCCCCCCCCCCCCCCCTTGTTCAGGGCCACATTATTCAATTTCTGTTAGTCACATGTCTGTGGAACTTGTTCAGTTTATGTCTGTTGTTGAATCTTGTTATGTTCATACAAATATTTTACACATGTTAAGTTTGCTGAAAATAAACACAGTTCAGTGAGAGGCGGCTTCTTTTTTTGCTGAGTTTAGAATTAATCTCCAATACAAAATGTCCAAGATCACACTTGTTTAGCTATGTGAATAATTTAACATTAGACAGTATCCGTAAGTTAAGCATTAAAGAGACAAATTATAAACCAATTTTATTTCTAACAATTAGCCAAAGACAATGAATGAGATTCCCGAGGGGCTGCAACTCCCCGTAGCAATATTTTGCAGGCTTTAACTATATTTTCTATAAATGCCACTTAACACAGGTCAAAATTCAAATGAATCCAGAATATACTGGTTGCTTCCATCTACAAGCTGACATTCTCTAGACAAATTTAAATGAAAATCAGATTTAGGCAAATCCCTTTTACATCATATCCCAATCCCACACCGAATTCCTTGTAGCAAGTCCATAGTCAGAAAAGAAAGTCATCTAGAAACCAGAAAAAAATTACTCAAAATTGTTTTATTTCAAAAGCTCTGACAGCTCCCGATTCTCATGTAAATCCATTCGACATGTAAAATACAACCATACAATACATTAGATTCAAAAAAGGTACCAAAAAGTACGGTAAAAATAACACTTCCATCTCTGGAAATGTGGACCCCAAAAAAAGATAAAATAAAAACATGGAAAATTGGCATTTACTTCCCAGTTCCTCAGATGGTCTGTACAAATGGAGCATGAGTCTCATCCCACAGGAAATAATAAAGTCCTGCATACTTCTGCCGCACCCACAGTCTCTCAAATCTGTGTTTACTTGAGTCCTTTAAGAGAGGAGAAAAAGGAATTGTTGCACACCACTTATGACATGAGCCCACCACCCTGCATCAAAGAGCAAGCAAACAGCTAGGGCAACAAGCATGCAAGAAACAGGGGATGAATTAGGAAGTCAATGCTGCTGGTTAGAGTGGTCATGGCATAGCGTTAAGGGAAACGGCAGACATTGTTAAATTTGCTGTGCAGCTTTAAGCAGATAGTCACCCATCTCCCACTCTAGAAAAACCCATTGTGGTCCACCGCAACATCAACCCTTATTGATCCAGTAGTGTAGTTGTAGGGGTGCATCTGATGCAGATTTTGTGCTGGCAAATTTGAGGGTTTGAGGTTGTGTACTTCTAAAACAAGTTTCCTATCCCCAACAGCACTGTATTTACTTAATCCAATTGATGAAGAGTGGAGTAATTTCATTCTAATCTACAATAGCCTTCCCCTGAGCCAGACTGTAAGTCTTGGCAAGGAAATTTTTGGGCATCAATGCCACAAATCTAACAGCTATATCGCACCACAATGTTACAAAGCACTAAAATGCATACCTGCACTACATGTGATCAGTATGGCTTGTAGCTACCCTGGTGGCCTCCACGTCTTGGAGTTTTCCCATAGCTTGTATTGCCCTGGTCTGCAGGAATAGAGAGAGAGGACTGAGTGCTTCTGTGCAAAGACAAGTCAAACAATCAGGTAGGCGCTTGCCAAAGGTCTGTATACTCACTGTAGTCGTAGCCCCCTCCATAGTATCCAGCGGAGTAGTCATAGTTGCCGTAAGCGCCATAGTTTCCATAGCCCTGCTGCCCACCATAGCCATAGCCCTGGTTGCCATAGCCTTGGCTCCAGTAATTATTATAACCCTGGTTCCCATATTGGCTTTGGCCTGAGGGAAAGAAATGTGGTTTTAAAATCAGACAAAATAGTTTCACACTAAATTATAATCCAGATTTTTTTTTTTTTTTTTATTTCACCTTTATTTAACCAGGTAAACCAGTTGAGAACAAGTTCTCATTTACAACTGCGACCTGGCCAAGATAAAGATATTTATGGTTCAAGGATGGATGCCCATTAGCAATCCCTTTTCTCAGATCCTTCCATGCCTTGTGAGTTCAACACCTGTCATGCACCCTTAAAGCTGAGGTCTTCCTGCAGGTACAACCCATTGCACCCTTTACTTGAAATGAACCTAGCATTATACAAATACTCTGCATACCTGCTTGATGCCTTAGTCACTCGTAACAACTACGTCAGACTGCTTGCTTTAATACGCACCACCACGCCCCCTGCCTCCCCGGCCTCCTCCATAACCGCCACCACGGCCTCCGAACTGCTGCTGCTGGTACACCTCCTTGGGCTGGGCGATTTTGATCTCGCACTGGAATTAAATCAAGAAGGATGTTTAATAACACAGATGCTGCAAAGACATGACAGAATGCAGTACAAACATGCAAGGGCTATTCATAAACATCTGTTAAATTCAAGATTTGCGCACACTGGACCCCCATTTCAGTCAGGACACTGCCAACACAATTCATTTGAACTTGACAAAATGTATATCTGAATTCTGACATGCAAAAATGAAATGGTGTTTAAATTGATGGAAAGAATAATTCTAGTAATTTCACACCATGCAAGTGGGTCTGAAACTCTTGCATGCAATGTGCATTTCAGTGAGGAAGCATTATATAACACCACATTGCATGAGCATGTCCCAAAGCATTTCAGGAGGGAATGAACATTGAACAAATGTACACACCAAGCAATTAGACAAGTTTGCATTTCACACAAATAAGATGCTTAGCCAGACCGATGTACACTGAACAAAAATATAAACGCAACATGTTAAGTATTGGTCCCATGTTTCATGAGCCAAAATAAAAAGATCCCAGAAATGTCCCATAAGCACCAAAAGCTTATATCTAAAATTGTGCACAAATTAGTTGACATCCCTGTTACTGAGCATTTGTCCTTTGCCAAGATAATCCATCCACCTGAAATGTGTGACATATCAAGAAACTCATTAAACAGCATGATGTGCTGGGGACAATAAAAGGCCACTCAAATGTGCAGTTGTCACAACACCACAGATGTCTCAAGTTGAGGGAGCGTGCAATTGGCATGCTGGCTGCAGGAATGTCCACCAGAACTGATGCCAGAGAATTGAATGTTCATTTCTCTACCATAAGCCACCTCCAATAATGTTTTAGAGAATTTGTCAGTACGTCCAAACGCAGACCACGTGTATGGCATCGTGTGGGCGAACGGTTTGCTGATCTTAAAGTTGTGAACAGAGTGCCACATGGTGGCAGTGTTTTTTTAAAAATGTATTTTACCTTTATTTAACTAGGCAAGTCAGTTAAGAACAAATTCTTATTTACAATGACGGCCTACACCAGCCAAACCCTGACGACGCTGGGCCAATTGTGCACCGCCCTATGGGACTCCCAATCACAGCCGGTTGTGATACAGCCTGGAATCGAACCAGGGGGTCTGTAGTGACGCCTCAAGCACTGAGATGCAGTGCCTAAGACCGCTGCGCCACTCGGGAGCAGGGTTATGGTATGGGAAGGGAAGGCATAAGCTACGGACAACGAACACAATCGCATTTTATCGATGGCAATTTGAATGCAGAGATACTGTGACGAGATCCTGAGGCCCATTGTCGTGCCATTCGTCCGCCACCATCTCATATTTCAGCATGATAATGCACGGCCCCATGTCGCAAGGATCTGTACACAATTCCAGGAAGCAGAAAATGTCCCAGTTCGTCCATGGCCTGCATACACACCACATACCCATTGAGCATGTTTTTTTTTTTAAAGGTATTTGTAACCAACAGATGCATATCTGTGTTTCCAGTCATGTGAAATCTATAGATTAGGGCCTAATGAATTTATTTCCATATATGAACTGTAACTCAGTAAAATCTTTGAAATTGTTGCATATTGCGTTTATATTTTTGTTCAGTATAGAATGATAACCACAGCACACACGTTACCCCACATTCCCCACCACCAACAGTACGTTTTTTTTTTTTTTTAAGTTTAGAAGAAATATACATACAAGGCCTTCCTTTCCGTTTGTTACCTTGGTTCCACAGACATTGTGGAACTTCTTTTCAAGGCATTTTTTAACAGTGGCCTCCTCTTTGAATGTGATGAAGATAAACCCCCTCCTTTTTTTGAACTTGGGGTCCACTGGAAGTTCAATGGATTCAATCTGAAGATGTGAATAGTGACAGATTTAGAACACTGGAAAATCAAGAGCTACTAAAACATATAGGAAGGTCAGGTTGAGGCCATCATAGGACAATGACAAACCTCTCCAAAGGTTCCAAAGTATTCTCTGATGGTCTCCTCCGTGGCTTCTGGGTTTAGGCCACCAACAAAGATCTTCTTGGCTGGTTCCTTCTTCATTGCCATCGCCTTCTTTGGGTCTATCTGTCGTCCATCTAGCCGGTGTTCTTTCTGCTCAAGAACCTTCCGGATTAGAGAAAATAGGTTTTAGTATACAAAGTCCAATTTGTCACAATGTAAAATCATGTCACCTTTCTCATGGCACATACCGTGTCTACACTTGCTGCTTCTTTGAACAAGACAAACCCAAACCCGCGTGACCGTCCTGTGTTTGAGTCCATCTTGATGGTACAATCTGTCACCTCTCCAAATTTGGAGAAGTAATCTTTCAGGTCTTTTTTGCTAGTGTCCCAGCTAAGTCCACCAACAAACATTTTGCTGCAGAGAAACACAGTTCAGTAACACACCTAGGACAAATCTCATAGGCTGACAACTGAGCAGCCACTATTCACATATTCATATTGATTTTATTTGAGTTCAGAAAAATCTCAAATTACTAGGGACATTGTTGTGGCTTACAAACTTGTACAGGCCAATAACAGACAGTTCACACATACTTTGGTTGAATCATAGCTGAGAATTCTCAACTTCACGATATGTACATCACATCTCAATGGAGTTGAGTGGCGATGAGTTTTGGCAGTGTACCTCCATCTACATCGAGTCGGTATCAGTCGATACTTGTAAAAATGTCCATTCTTTAATGTGTACATCGTTTGTCCTGTGTAAAGGCAGTATTTTCTTTGGGTGCTGCAATCCGTAGTTTTTGATAAAAGTAATTCTATGTGACCTGTCAAATTGCGTCACGTAATCTGCGCATGAGTATGAAGTTTACGACTTAAAACATGCACTACCACACAATACTTTTATGAATATCAATTATTTAACGCTTACTGTGTATCTGTGCTTGTCATAGTTGTCAGTGGGAGTTGGAATCCATAGTTTCTTAACCCACTCCATTGTAGAGTTGAGAATTCTCTGCTAGTTGAATCACTGCAACTCAACACTATAAACATTTTGCAAAATGAGAGCTATAACTGAATTCTAGCCATCCCCCAAATGGGCTGAACATGGCTCCAAAAAAAAAAAAAAAAAAAATCAAACATGTAACGTTAGTATGTTACATAAAGGTGTTAGAACAACCATACAGAAACGTACCCAGCATCATCCTCGCCTTTACTTGCATTTATCTGTCCCCCCTCTGCCGCTCCATTCTGCGTGACCCCTTCCTCCACCGCAGCCTGTTCCTCGGCTACTGGCTCTCCCTCTACCGTGCAGCTCTGTTCTTCTTGTTCCTCTGTCTCGGGATGTTCTGTGGATTCTTCTGCTCCATTCAGTTCTTCCTCGGCTTCGTTTCCATTTTTGGAGGTCTCCATGAATTGCTGCTCAGCGTCGTTAGACATAGTGATCGCCTACCGTGGGGATAAAGAATGTTAGCTAGCTGGCTATATGAATGGCATTTCCTGTAGACGAACCGTGAACATTCAAAAAGTAGGCCACCGTGACTGCCCTACCATAAACTAACCGGGTTCTCCAACTAGCTAACGTTAGCTTGTTAACATCGGAACACAGTCACATTTGAGTTGATAAAACACCATAGTCAACGTTTAATTGTATTATCCTTTATACGGATACAAGCAAACTGTGCACAGAAACAATTCAAAGGCCTGCTATACTAATCTGTTGAACAGATCTATTTAACAACTACCACAGCTCGTAATGTTAGCTGGTTATTTTGTTCGTGTTTGCGGCCTGCCAGTCCCGACTTGACAAACCGAGTTAGCAATAGGTAACGACGTTAGAGCAGCTATACATACTTTACCTAGCTCGATACAGGGGGGAATAAATCGTTGAAACACATGACGCAATGTGTGGGAGGTGAAATGAAAATAGCGCTTACTGTTTAAAATGTTGGAGCCGTAGGCTGCTTTTCAAGATGGATACTCTCCGACTCCGCTAACTCGTGGCAATCTTTATACAACCGGATAGAGTACCACAGTGCTGTCGTCTTAATACCCATAAAAACTAGCGGTCAAACACGGAAATGGTTCCAATCGTTTTTTCACCCTACATTTTTCCCAAATGAGATTTTATAACTAGTTCAAACAAGGTCTGTGTTTATGTGGATCAAAATATAGTAGTTATGGGAAACCTAGGCTTTCTGAAGTATTCGGTGGTTTCACCAAATTGTACCGAAAAACGGTTCATTACTCGGAGCTTCATTATCTGTTCACAATGGACATTAGTGACATCTGCTGGTCAGCAATAAATAGCAGTTTATAGTTATCAGATATACAGTACCGGTCAAAAGTTTGGACACACCTACTCATTCCAGGGTTTTTCTTTATTTTGACTATTTTCTACATTGTAGAATAATAGTGAAGACACCAAACTATGAAATAACACATATGGAATCATGTAATAACCAAAAAAGATTATTCAAAGTAGCCACCCTTTGCCTTGATGAAAGCTTTGCACGCTCTTGGCATTCTCTCAACTAGCTTCATGAGCTAGTCACCTGGAATGCATTTCAATTAACAGGTGTGCCTTCTTAAAAGTTAATTAGTGGAATTTCTTGCATTTTGGTGACACTGTCTGTGATTTATTTAGAATTCAAGGCACACTTAACCAGCATGGCTACCACAGCATTCTGCAGCGATTTGCCATCCCATCTGGTTTGCGCTTAGTGGGACTATCATTTGTTTTTCAACATGACAATGACCCAAAACACACCTCCAGGTTGTGTAAGGGCTATTTGACCATGGAGCATGATGGAGTGCTGCATCAGATGACCTGGCCTCCACAATCACCCAACCTCAACCAAATTGAGATGGTTTGGGATGAGTTGACCGCAGAGTGAAGGAAAAGCCGCCAACAAGTGCACCGCATATATGGGAACTCCTTCAAGACTGTTGGAAAAGCATTCCTCATGAAGCTGGTTGAGATAATTCCAAGAGTGTGCAAAGCTGTCATCAAGGCAAAGGGTGGCTATTTCATAGTTTTGATGTCTTCCCTATTATTCTACAATGTAGAAAATGGAAAAAATAAAGAAAAACCCTGGAATGGGTAGGTGTGTCCAAACTTTTGACTGGTACTGTAGGTTTCTTTTCGCCACTGTTTTCATGAAAACTCTGTAAGTTGTTGGCTTTAGTTGCCTATAATCAGTTGGAATAACAGGTTTCTATCTTATGTCATGCTTCCCTTTTTTGCCTTCAAGTTGACTATTTTTCTCAAACTGGATCTATGGCATTATTTAGGATGCTTCAGATACAAGCTTATACTATACTAAATACATCAATTTATTTCAACAACAGTGCAGAAAGTGTGGTTTCACATAAAACAATTTTCAAATTGGTGTGCCTTCAACAGGATTCGACCTCATACTGAATGTTCCATACTCTATCTGCTCTATCTGCTAAGCTACAGGACAGGTGAGACTTTATGTACAAAATACTACCTATATTTGTAAGTACGGTGTCCAGTAGCGGTCAGTGTTTCAAAGCAGCTTGGAATCGAAGAAAGCACCAGAAAGACGGCAAAATCAGTAGGATCTCGCATTTGGCAACACACGGTTTGATGACGTACAGTGGGGAAAAAAAGTATTTAGTCAGCCACCAATTGTGCAAGTTCTCCCACTTAAAAAGATGAGAGAGGCCTGTAATTTTCATCATAGGTACACGTCAACTATGACAGACAAAATTAGAAAAAAAAATCCAGAAAATCACATTGTAGGATTTTTAATGAATTTATTTGCAAATTATGGTGGAAAATAAGTATTTGGTCAATAACAAAAGTTTCTCAATACTTTGTTATATGCCCTTTGTTGGCAATGACACAGGTCAAACGTTTTCTGTAAGTCTTCACAAGGTTTTCACACACTGTTGCTGGTATTTTGGCCCATTCCTCCATGCAGATCTCCTCTAGAGCAGTGATGTTTTGGGGCTGTCGCTGGGCAACACGGACTTTCAACTCCCTCCAAAGATTTTCTATGGGGTTGAGATCTGGAGACTGGCTAGGCCACTCCAGGACCTTGAAATGCTTCTTACGAAGCCACTCCTTCGTTGCCCGGGCGGTGTATTTGGGATCATTGTCATGCTGAAAGACCCAGCCACGTTTCATCTTCAATGCCCTTGCTGATGGAAGGAGGTTTTCACTCAAAATCTCACGATACATGGCCCCATTCATTCTTTCCTTTACACGGATCAGTCGTCCTGGTCCCTTTGCAGAAAAACAGCCCCAAAGCATGATGTTTCCACCCTAATGCTTCACAGTAGGTATGGTGTTCTTTGGATGCAACTCAGCATTCTTTTTCCTCCAAACACGACGAGTTGAGTTTTTACCAAAAAGTTCTATTTTGGTTTCATCTGACTATATGACATTCTCCCAATCCTCTTCTGGATCATCCAAATGCACTCTAGCAAACTTCAGACGGGCCTGGACATGTACTGGCTTAAGCAGGGGGACACGTCTGGCACTGCAGGATTTGAGTCCCTGGCGGCATAGTGTGTTACTGATGGTAGGCTTTGTTACTTTGGTCCCAGCTCTCTGCAGGTCATTCACTAGGTCCCCCCGTGTGGTTCTGGGATTTTTGCTCACCGTTCTTGTGATCATTTTGACCCCACGGGGTGAGATCTTGCATGGAGCCCCAGATCGAGGGAGATTATCAGTGGTCTTGTATGTCTTCCATTTCCTAATAATTGCTCCCACAGTTGATTTCTCCAAACCAAGCTGCTTACCTATTGCAGATTCAGTCTTCCCAGCCTGGTGCAGGTCTACAATTTTGTTTCTGGTGTCCTTTGACAGCTCTTTGGTCTTGGCCATAGTGGAGTTTGGAGTATGACTGTTTGAGGTTGTGGACAGGTGTCTTTTATACTGATAACAAGTTCAAACAGGTGCCATTAATACAGGTAACGAGTGGAGGACAGAGGAGCCTCTTTAAGAAGAAGTTACAGGTCTGTGAGAGGCAGAAATCTTGCTTGTTTGTAGGTGACCAAATACTTATTTTCCACCATAATTTGCAAATAAATTCATAAAAAATCCTACAATGTGATTTTCTGGATTTTTTTCTCTCAATTTGTCTGTCATAGTTGACGTGTACCTATGATGAAAATTACAGGCCTCTCTCATCTTTTTAAGTGGGAGAACTTGCACAATTGGTGGCTGACTAAATACTTTTTTCCCCCACTGTACTTCTGATAAAGTGATACACGCATCGGCACACTTCTTTGAAGTTAGCTGCTTTGCGATTTCAACGCATGCCTCGGAGCGCCGGTATCAAATGTAGCATCACTAGTATAATGGATTATACCCCAGTCTAGTTGGTGGCAGTAATGCAACATAAATTGGATGCCAACCGCCGTTAAACCTCGCCAAATAAGCAGGTGTGTTTTGTGTAGGCTTTACCTGGTGTGATGTTTTGATAATTGTGTAATGCCGCGTTTAAAACAACTGGGAGCTTGGAAATCTCCGAGTTCTGACTGGGAAAAATAGTTTTGAACAGTCATCCAACTCGGAATTCCAACTCAGGAACTTGGGCCTCTTTCTAGAGCTCCGAATTTCCGACCTGAAGATCACGACGTCATGATTTGACCTAGTATTTTTCCTGAGTTGTTTTGAATCTCTCTCAGACAAATATTTGGCTCTATTTACTCTCAGATTTGAAAATGACAATTAGTAACATAGACATCACAGAGTTTTCAAACCCATGAGGTGCAACAGCGCAATACTTCCGGGAACGCGTAGCAAAGCAGATTTGACAGACCAGACCGGGATTTGGGGCTTGACAAGCCAATGGGAGAAGTGACAAATTCTTCCTCAATTGTTAATTAAGGCAAAACCTAGATTTGTGCCAGTTAAGTAGATGGGCCTGGCATTACTACAACCTTGTGAAAGTGACAAACTGACACGTTTTCAATTTTTGTCAAAAACATTTTTATATCGAAAGAGTGCATTTCATTTGACGGCCTGTCGATGCCAGATCTGACTGCCTACGGAATCTAACTGACCGTCGCGCTGATCTGCGTCACAAATAAACGTTTTGGATGCTGATTCGCTACTTCTCTCCCACAACTTCGCCACATAGTTACTGTTGCTATGGCTAACAGGCGCGTGCGAGCAGTTTCCAGGAAAAGGGAGATAGATTAGGCAAGCAAGGTGCTGAAACGAAAGCTAGCAATATGATGGCTAATATGTAGCTAGCTAGCTACATCTAGCTATATCTTAGATGGCTGACTATGGTGAGAGGCAACAAGTGTGTTCTGATAACTGGCTAGCAACCTGTTTTACTGTATAATTTAGCTTCATCAACAAGTGATCTGTCTTTGACAAATTTTAAGAGGAGTTGAGTATATAGCTAGCTAGTCCACTAAAGTCTGCTTGCTTACAACTGGTCATCATCTCTTCCACACAATGTGCATCAATCAGAGTATCTCCACCCAGTGATCTCCACAGATGGATGAAGCCCACCTGCTTGCTCTGCCCCTCAAGTATTGTTACACTGTGTACACCATATTTGTATGACTCAATACTTTTAAAGATACAACTTGACTCACTCAATACGGAAGTGGTCAGATGACGCGGATGCTACGCTACAGGACTGTTTTGCTAGCACAGACTGGAATATGTTCTGGGATTCATCCAATGGCATTGAGGAGTATACCACCTCAGTCACTGGCTTCATCAAAAAGTGCATCGACGACGTACATATCCCAACCAGAAGCCATGGATTACAGGCAACATCTGCACTGAGCTAAAGGCTAGATCTGCCGCTTTCAAGGAGTGGGACACTAATCCGGGCGCTTATAAGAAATCCCGCTATGCCCTCAGACAAACCATCAAACAGGCAAAGCGTCAGTACAGGACTAAGATTGAATCCTACTAAACCGGCTCTGACGCTCGTCGGATGTGGCAGGGCTTGCAAATTATTACAGACTACAAAGGGAAACCAAGCCGCGAGCTGCCCAGTCAAGCTAAATGCCTTTTATGCTC